CAATATACCTACATCGGAATTTATAAACTTAGTACAATTTACAGATGCCATATTTGAAGACTATGACTCTGTGCTCTCATCTTCTGTTTTAAATTAGTCCATCCTTAAAGCCAATATTCCTTTGTATTTATACTGTGCCTATGACTATACTTTCACAAAATTACAACAAATATCTCTTGACACAAGCCGGGGGATGCTATTTTTATGCTTAAAATGGTGATTCAGAGGTTAGATTTTTTTCTGGAGAAAAGAAGTTCACTTGGGAAATGTTCTTACCATCAAAGCCACAACAAGCATATATTCTCTGCATTGCTTTTAATTGTTTTAGATGTCTGTTTATGGCCATGCAATTGTTTTAGATTCCTAATATTTTAAAGGCTAAGATCAATGAAAAACAGAATATTTCATTAGGAGACACCATAAAAGTGATAAACTAATATTTTATATTAGTCACAAATTGCTAAGCAATTCTTCTAATATTTTTCCAGCTTTCCACAGAACAGCAACAATCAGGATCTCACAAATCTACATATGAATCATCCTAGCCCTTTTCCTATGGGACAGAGAATGCTTTTATTTTTGAGGAAATGAAACCTAATTTACTGAGGCCATGAAGAGCAAGAGGGCTTTTAAAGCATAATTTATCTTGTTTGTTAATTGTTGTACACTTCAGTCTACCAGGGCTGAGGGCATAGCTCTGCTTTTAAAAGAAGGTTCATAATTGCTGGCAGCTTAAATAAAAAGAAAAAAAAAATAACATCAGACATTAATAGCTGTGTGTTAGTATCTGCCAAGTACTCTACAGCTGTGAGTTTAATTTAAAAGAAAGGTTTACAACTCCAAAGTTAACTTCCAAAAAATTCTAGAAAACTTACAGAAACCTGCTGTAGGTGACCCTTCCTTGTCAGGGGAATTGGACTACATGATCTCCAGTGGTCTCTTCCAACCCCAGTTATTCTGTGATTCTATGACACTAAAATTTTTCCCAGTAATAAGTGTGGTGGATCATAAGACTAGCAGAATAGGTAAGTAAAATAAAAAAGGTTTAATTTTTGGAAACTGCAATGGAAATACTTGTTTAGTACAAATGTAATAATAGCAGGTTTAAGATCTTTCGCATATTTTAATTTTAAAAATTTTTACTGAGTGAAATGCCATCTATTCTTTAACTGAAAATTTTAAATTTCATTGAACAGCTCATACACAGAGTGTTGAAATAAGATGTTTCAACTACTATTCAGCTTTAAAATAAACCTGAAATGATAACCAAACCCAACCTTTTCTACAAAATTTATTTCAATACTTCTGTGTTCTGCATCAGCAAACAGCCATCCCGCTGCAGCAGGAGTGGCCACCTACATGGTTTGGATGTTGCAAGCTCAAAACCAGTAAGGTAATGCCATAGAAGATAATACCACGATGTGGAAGTTGTTAAATAGCAAATAAACTTGTTAAAAACAATGGTGCCATTTTATTTCAAACCAGACTTATTTCAAGCTTGTGTTTAACATGGCATGGTCTTTCCACATTGTAAAGTGCCTCAGAGAGGAAGGCTGTAGGTATGTTTGGATGAGTCTCAGATTCAGATCAGGAGTGCTCTTTGGAAGCCAATCTCCCAGTTGCCCGTGCTCCCCAGGCATGAGTCTGTGTAATTACTGAACAGTCTCAAAATGCATGACAAGCAGTTTTTTAGGGTGACACAAATCTGAAGAAGCTTTCTTGCAGTGTACATAACATAGTCCAATATGCCAACAGCCATGGGTCAAGGCCAGTGTCAGTCCTAATTTTGAAAACTCCTGGAATGGTTATACATATCAGGTCCTCAGCCTGCTCTCTTAGCCAGTGCTGCCAGTCAATAACACTCACTAATATAGATGGAGTTTCTATGCTCAGAGATAATCAAAGGTGCTGCAAATTTAAATATTTTCCCAAGCGATTTCAGGAAGCAAGTTTAAAAAGTCTGATTATCACTGACACCTGATTATTTTCTGCAATATAAAAGTATATAAGCACCATCTCCTAGGTTCTAAAAAAAGATTTCTTTTATGCTACTGAGAAATAGAACTTAAACCATTATCAAATGAAGTCCTCATTGAACCATCAATTCTTCATTTCAGAATAAAAGTTGAGTGGAATTTAGTAGCATTTATTACTTATCAGCCTGTCCTCAGATTACAGCAGTGGTAACTGCAATCAGGAAATGTTAACAACCCAACCTGAGACAGTGTAAAATATTTTATATTCCTTACCAAGACATAAAGATCAGTTACTTATTCTCACCCCTGGGTTTTGACGTTGGCATAAAAACAGCAGACTGTAAAGCTATAGGGAACCACCTTTAACAGTAAAACCATCCAGAGCTGGAAGCAGGCATTGTCACAGCACTGTTTAAAGAATTAATAAACCACAAAGATGAAATAAAAATCTAGAATCACCAAATCTGGTGCATCACCTCAGTATCTGGAAGGAATCTTAACAACTGGCTTCTAGGGCAAACACAGGCTGTCTCAGGTGTGAGGATGAGGCATCCTCAACTGTGGCTTCAGTTTCTTTCCATGACACAAACTGCTGAGCAATCGTACCACTAACACAGATAAATTACAACTACTCAAGGAACTATCACTCCATTTTGCTCTTGTTTAATCTTTGACTTTGGGAGCGATAACAAGATAATTTAAAACAACCACAAAGCTTAGGGTAATACATACATTATCAATCACACGCTGTCCCATCAATAATTCACGCTCACAGGAAATATCAGAAGCATTTTGGCATCGATGGCTAGTGAGGCCGCTCTGCTGGGCTGTGCCTGGGGGCAGCCCGGTTCGCCCGGCTTTCCTAAAGCCCGGCCGGCTGCGGCACACGTCCCGCACTCCCGGGAGCAGGGATGAGCAGGCCCTTTGGCGCGGCCGCTGCAGTTCCGGCCGGCGCCACCGGGCGTCGCTGCGGGGCAGCTCCGAGCCGGGAGCGGGGCAGGAGCACCAAGCCCAGAAGCCAAGCGGGGCTGGGGCGCAGCAGCGCCTGCCCGGCCCGGTTCTGCCCCGCGGGTGTGCGGGGGAGGCTCCCCACGCTTCCTGCCGGGCCGGGCCGCATTCCCGGCACGTGGCACAAGGATCAGGGCCGCCCAGTGACACGGACTGCACATCCCACTGCCTTCTCGCCGGGGCGCGGCCGGCGTGGGCAGCGTTCGAGGCACGAAAAGCACCGAGCACACCTCGTACTGCACTCAGTGACCAGCTCTGCTCTCCTTCTCTGGCCCAGCCAGCCCTGCCCCATGTGTCCGATGTGCTGCAGGCCGGCCAGGACGAGAACTCCCCCATGGCCTCCCTGGCCACGCCAGTCCTGCGCTAAGATCTGCTGGCTCTGGTATTCCTTTTAGTGTGACTTCTGCCAATCCATCACATCCCATTTTCCACTGAGACTTTTGGTACTTTAACTTTCAGATGACTCGAGCCATTAAACACTTATATATTACCCTAATAAGATGCGCCTTTCTGACCAGGACCACTCAACAATTCTCTAAAATGCTTGTGGTTTGCTTCTGACACAGAGGTCCTTGCTGTCAGAAGCCCCACGAGACTCAGACACGTGCTGGGGCTCGGCCTTTTCAAGTTTTTGTGAGTGCTCCCTGGCAGGCAGCCTCAAGAAAAGCCTCATAGGGAAACCAAGTAAGTGGGTCTAGGCCAGTACTTCTCAAGGAAGTAAGAATTAAGCTTACCAAGAAACAGATAACATAAATTGCAGACTAGGGTCAGACTCTGCTGTTCTTCAGCAGGACCAGACACTCAGAATGAGAAATCAGAACTGGCAGTACAGTGTGAAATGAGTCCTTGTGACTGGTGACCCGACTGCCAGCAAACTGCGTGAATTGTTGTAGCTCAGCATGCAGACAGTATAAACTCCCACTCTTCCTCCCCTTTCCCTGACATTCCACCACAGCTGCACATGGAGGATTCTGTTTAAACAAAATGTGTTGTAGCTGCCTCCTATGTCCTACCACACTTCTTTGGTGTTCAGCCTTCCTTTATCTGTTCCTACTGAGAATCAACATTGAAAGCTAAGAAATAAAGGATTGTGTAATGCTGTATTTGGGACTCAAATTGTGAGGTACAGGATACATCACGAGAGTAGATAAGAAATGAGAACTTGAATAAAGGCATTAATGAGAACAGTACTAAGACAAAGTAGGATCACCTTTCTCCTTTATATATGCTTTGCTGAATATGTAAATAATTACCACATAAAATAAAGGAAGTTATTAATTCCTAGTCCTAAAGAGGATGCAAACAACTCTCCCACACCTACGGCTGCAGAGGACTCTTTTTAAGTCATGGCTCATTACTAGGGGCAAACAAAAATGCTCACATGAACCTAAGTGCTCACATTCAACATTGTGAAATACTGGAACATAATCAAATTACTAAAGATAGCCATAGCTGGTACCCTGGGATATACAAATGCTTCCCGAGCTTCTTTGCCTTGACGTGACATGTCAAGGACCACCATTCTAATGCACAGGATACTCAGTCTTCTGTCCCCTTGCCACTTCTAGAAAGCAAGCTGGTTTCCTTTCAGTTTTTCTTACATCCTCTGTGCCCTGATGCAAAAAAATAGAACTTGGACAAATAAATGTATTGCTCTAAAAATAGGATTCAGGAGGGTAGCCTTCAGTTCAATAAGCAAAGGATATAGAAAGTTTGCAGCTACTGTTTAAGTCTCTAAATTAGAATACTGGCTCTTTTGTGTGGTATCTGAAACATCTGTGCAAATAAACATAAAGTGAGACAAAACTGTTCCTCCCCCTAAACTGTCTCCTCCCACAGCATGCCATTTTTTGCAGATATAAGATTACCTTTCCTGTTTGCACACATTCTGGTTAGTCATTCTACAGGTGGTGAATGAACATGTAATTCTTAGGCTAAAGTAGTATAGAGATGCCATCCCAAGATGCATTACCCAAGGAAAAATATGGAGTTGAGGGAATCATAATTGCTACTCACGCTGTGCACGCCCAGAGCCTTCCAGATGGCAAAACTCAGCAATCCAACTCCGCACCATGCATAGAGTGAGCCCCACCCTAGTGCTCGTAAGGCCAGTGATGAACCACTCTCTGGTAGTGCAGCTGTGGGAGTAATCCCCTAGAACCAAAGAGAAAAAGATCACGAGAAAATGAGCAATTGGAAAACAAACAAACAAATGAACAAACAAACAAACAAACCACTAAGAAAGTTGGTGATTTAGAGTTTTTTTTCCTGACCTACCAGTTGCACTTGTGTGGCCACAGAAAATCTTAGGGCTGCCAGCACACCTCAGGAGCCAAAGAAAAAGGGGCTGGATGAAGTGCCTTCCTACCAGGAGCAGATTTCACTTGTTGCCAGTGCCACTTGGGGACGACTTTCATGCCCAAAAATACCAGTCAGTTGTTCCATGGGCACAAGAAGCCAACACTCAGTTATCTCACCAGTCAAAATATGAAACTGAATCTAAACCAGTCACAAGCCTTTATGCCAGTGACATCTGAACATAATCACTATGGCATTGATTTTGATACTTTCTCATGGGGGGCAACCAAAGGCCTATAGGTCTTTATCTGCACTTTTGGAACAGCTCACTGGAAACCTGCAAGAACATGGAGCAGCTTTCATCTGGACATTGAAAGAGTATTGTAGAGACCCAGGGATTAATTTCAGAGGCCTACAACTCTGAAGAAGCTCTAGAAACTATTAAGGAAAATTTTGTAAAAGCAAACAATGCTGAACCGATTCCCCTGCAGAGTTCACCAAGCAGGAACACTGAAAATGCTGTGTGGTCTCCATGCTTCTCATTTTTGTCAAAAGACACCTACGAAAGTAGGTGGTTTTTAAGATACTGCTGCATAGAATGCCATGAGATGTGTCCTGATAACACGAGTACTATGAAAATGCTGTCACTTGGAAAAGCCACCTCAGGCCAAGAATGCAGCCCTGGCTACGATGGGGTCCCCACCATAAGGTAATGTGTTCTCTATCACAACACATAAATGGACACTGCAGCTTCCAGGGACACCATCAATCCATGTGCACCCCACCTCACTGCCAGCCATTCTTGCCTCACAATGCCCACCGTACTGCACCTATTTGGCACAGCAAAGTTTCAACCTGTGTAACCCACAGCAGCAGTGACACAGACAGAATTCTCCTGCTCATAGTGGCAACTGCCATTCAGAGGATTTTTCTCCCCTCCAAAGGATCACTGTTCAATTGTTCACATGCAAACACAGATTTCAGATGGTAATTGTTAATAAGATTGGTATTTATGATCCTTACACAACTCAACGGTTCTACTTAACTGGGTATCTTGGAAAAAAGGACAACTAAGTATTGCTCAGGGGTAACATAAATGAGATTGCACACATAAAATTACAAAAAATTATTTTATTTACAGTCTAAAAATACTGAAAAGCAAAATTAACTTGTGGAAGCATCAAAAAAACTTTTCTCCAAAACATGCCAAAGAACTGTTCTTTTTTACTCATCACAAAAAGTGGGGGAAAAAATTCTTTGGTGTTCTGGCTTTAAAAAAAGCTTTAAATTTTTAACTTATTTTTAAATGCTTCTCTTTCTTCTTTGATAAAATTAAACATACTTAATGTCTACCACTATAGTCAGTCAAATAGCACCAGTAGTTTTCTCCTCTTGGCTTTTTATTTATTGAAATGTTATTAAAATGATCCTCAGACATTCCTCAGCATTGACACTTTCTCTTGGTATTTAGCTATAGGCACAGCTACCCAAGGACAAACATGGACTTGGAAAGGGCACAAGTAGTACGTAACTTGACCCTTATTTATTCCAATTTGGACATCCCAAGTGGAAGCTGTTAAGAGAAACAATGCTCTGTAAGCATACACGCACACAAACAGCAGAGATCTCTAGTCACACTATAATATCAGGTCCTATTATCTCCTTACCACAGATAATGAACTATTATAACTCTTTTAGTAGAGACAGCTTTGAGTATTGAAATACTGATTACTTTTGACATTTTTCCTGCTTCCATAGTCTAATCATATATAACAACACTGAGAAAAAAATGGTGCCATTTGGAAGATGGGAAATGAATGGACAAAAATATCCTCTACTCAGAATCTTTAAATAGGAGTCATTATCTGTGAAAATTGCTGGCAAAAAAACCCAACTGACTACTTTTTAAATGCTTGATTGTCCCAGAAAAATATCGGTAAATGGAAACAACTAATCTGGTTTTACTGGCTGCAGTCAAACAGGGCTCAGTCACAGGCTGATTCCTCAGGATACTTAAGTACACAGATAAGGGTTTCTGTAAACAGGACAGCTGGTTAAATGATTATTGGATACACTGTTCAGAACATCAAGAAAGCTGACTAATGAAATGCTAAAAAATTACAAAGAACAACGGTAGCATGGGAGAAAAGGATGACACCAGCAAAAAACATTTTTAAGAGAATTGAGTTTTATTCAGTAACCTGTTATTCTATGTTCAGATTGTTTTCTCATCACTGCTGCTCTGTATTTTTTAAAAAAACATTGTTTAATTTAAAAAATAAGCTTTTAAACAATATTGAGTCTTTCCAAAAACAGGCCAGAAAAAAACAGGGCAGAATTAGCTGATTTGTTTTCCAAATATATGCTGCTTTTTAAATTTCATTGGTTGTTGTTGTTTTGTTTTCCTCTGGAAGATATAAACAGGAAGCAGGAGAAGGAAAAAAAATCACACAGTTTTTTTATTCAGACACAGGCCTTGATCGTGTAACTGGTCCCTTATGTGCACAGCGTGTCTAAAAGGAAGCAGTGCCTAAAATAAAGTGTGTTCAACTGTTTTGGTTGATTGTATTCAGTGTTTTCACTCTTTTGTGTGACCTAATCCATTGTGAAATTAAACACCTGCATAAATGCTGGTAACACTGGACACTTCTCAAAAGGAAGCTGCTACAGCAGAGCATTTAATTTTAACCAAAAAAACCATCAATTAACCAGGATCATATCAATATCAAATATAACCAAATATAATCAAATATATCAAATATAACCAAATCAAATAGCACATGTACTGGTGGCTTCACGGAACAGGAATAAATTGCCAGAAACTGAGGACTGATAGAATTAATTCTTTCAACACTGGTGCTGGCTGATGTTGACTTTAAGTACCTGTCAAACTATGGCCTCACCTTAACATGGATAAAAAATAATATTTAGGCATTGAACATCCAAAAAAGGTGCAATCTTCTGTAGTTGTTATTATACATGATGTATTATTAGAAGTTACTTCCAGTAAGTAACCATAAATTTAAGAATGCTAATGCAAAATCTCATTGGTACCTTGGAGAGCTTCTACAGAGAGTTAAGCCATTCTCAAAGTCTAGTCCTTCCTTTTTTAAACTGCTCACTGACAAATACCTTGACAAAAAAGTATCTCTCTACACTCTGGAGTACTGAAGTCAAGGTGCCCATGAAATCACAGATTTTTGCTAGCAAACTGTTGCAATTCCTTTGCACAAATAGCAGCAGATACAGTTTTTAGCAAAGACTGAAATGGTATGTACCGCTTGATGACATTTCTAGCATATATGTTCTCTGATGTCAATGCAATGTCACTCCTGATAAATTTCACACTGATAACAGGACAGCTCAGACACCCAGGAATATGTGCAAGCTGGAAAATTGCAGTGCTCAAGAGAAAGGAAGTTAAAAAAAAGAGATGGTATAAAAGGAGACCATTTCCTTATTGTAATGTATTTTCACACCTTGTGAAATAACTTCTCATGAAGTTTTCTGTTTTGTCGATTTCAAAAACAAAACTCATGCTTATTGTTTCTGTAAAGGCAATGGATGAGTTATGACACAGCAGCCTACAGAGGAAAGTAGGAAAGCAAATGAAGGATCTCATGATCTTTGACCAGAAAGGGAGATTACGAGTGATCAGAAATGAAGGTTCTGACAAAAAGTACAATGGAAGAATTATTTTCTCTTGATTTACATTGAATTAACTTGATATCTTCTCAAATCATCATTTTTAATATAAACACAATTGATCAGTTCTTAATTCCCTAAGAACATTTGTAGTACATGTTGCATTTTAAGAGCTTGGTGGAGATGAGACTGATCAACTTTAAGGGCCTGTTTTTGACATTTTCAGCAATAACAAAGTATTAGGGAGGAAAAAACATCCTTCAATTAAATGTGCTATGTTTCAAACTAATACACCAACACAGTATAATTTCTAGCTCTGCTTAGCAATTCTTTTCTTCAGAAAGCACAAGTGGATCCAGTCAGTAATTGACTGAGTTCAGATTCATTTTGGCCATGAGATCTCACAGCCCCATAGTACTCATTCTCATCCTTTCCCTTACACAGTGGGATGGGAACGGAGAGCTTTAATTCTGACTGAATGATCCCACTTACATATTCCACAGCTTACAGACCTTCTACCCCTTCCTCATTGCACCTCGCTTCCAGACTCACTGCAGCACTATGAGACTGCATGGTGAACTGGATCTCTGAAGCGATGCAGGCTCATGTCTAAAGTGTGTTCAAATCACAGAATCAAAAGAGATCAGTAACTGTATTTCAGTATACAGAAGTATGACTCCAGCAAACAGTGTAAGCATTACGTATTTCAGCTAATCTCAAATACTGAAGTATAGCAGGGCCAACTCTGAATTGATTTTTAAATTAATCCTACACCTGTACCAAATTCAATTAAGTCTAGTGCTCTTATCATCAACTCTGCCAAGTTCCATGTATATCAATATCACCATGTCTCTAAAGCATTCAATGCATTCTTATTTCCTGCATATTACTATTGGAAAACAGCTTAAAGGAACAAACCTTACTGAACCAGTCTGGGTTCTTCTTTTTTGTCATTGCAAGTGTAGTGCCAAAACCTGCTATCATTCCTGCTGTAGCAACAGTACCTAGAAAAATTCCACCTGCCAAGAAAAGTTGAAGAAATAAAAATCAAGACTTTGTTACTTAAGGGTAAGAAAAAAACCAACCAACTTTTTTAGAAAATAAAACCTGAAAAAGTAAAATCTGTCAGCACATGCTGAAGGGAAAGGCCCAGCTGTCCACACTTTTTATGTTAATTCAGTATGACAAAATAGCAAGACAAATAATTAGTTCTATGAAGCAGGGCATTCTGAAAATAATGGCATGTGTAAGCATTTTCAAGCCACACACAAAAATTCAAATCCCAGGATGATTTTTTTGCAGTACATTGAAATTTCCCTCACTGCAGAGCCAGCCTGCTAAAATCATCTTGTTTTATAATGATGCCTCACCCTCCCCCAAATGGGAAATTGAATTCGTTTTGTTGCATCACTTGTGATTTCAAATGGTGACCTAGAAATGGTCACCACTAGTTCCTCTGAAGACCATTGCGCAAGCAACACTTGTTCTTCAGCTCTATATTTTAATGGTCTATTTAAAATAAAAATAAAAAAAATAAAAAGTACTTATTTTTTTAATTAAAAAAAAAATAAAATCACACTAGCAAAAGCTATTCCAAGAAAGCAAGCATCCCTTGCTTTTCAGTCCTTTCAGAATTTCCAGAATCACTTGAGATACCTTGATCCTTTCTAGCTCTTGCAGCAAAGGCACATGGAGCCATACCTGCCCACTTTTAAGAAAAAGGCTTGTTACAAAGATTTACTGCACTGTAGAAACGAACTTGATCCATATTAAAACATAAAAATTTCAAGAGGTTAAATGTTCTTCCTTTGCAGGTATTGATACCTATCCTGTTTTCCCTCTCCTAATACCAGTTAGGTAATTTTAAAATGGCCTGAGCAGGAAGCAAGCAAAAATACACCTAAGTTAGGCCTCACTTTTAAAAGTTATTGATCTGATTACTGCAACGAGGAAATTTCCTGTACTTGTGTCAATGGAAATTTGTAAGGCACCTCCTCTGCCTGGGAGCACAAAGACTTCGCATCCTGGTCAAATTATGCAGTCCACTAAATTTTACATTTCCAGGTGTGGTAACCACCATTTCCCCAATTTCAGACACAGTAACTGTCGGGGGTACGTCCATGCTCTGGCCGGGCCTGGCCGGGATGTCCCGGCGGGCGGAGCGGGAACGGAGGCGCCTGAGTCTCGGCCTCCGCTCCGCCGGGGGGCGCGGGGCGACCGAGAAGACACCGGGAGCAGCCCGGGGAAACGGATAGAAATCACAGTATAGCATAAATCTAGAGCCGCATAGCGCCACCAGTCCTCCGGACGCTGCCCCGCAGCTCCGTGTAGCTGCGGAGACTGGCTCTGCCCTGACCGCGCTTCTCCCGCCTCGGATCCGGCCCGGGACGCGGGCTCCTTCCCTTAGAGAATCCGCTAGGCTGACTGAACCCGCGGGAGCCGCCTCTTCCCGCGGGCTCCTGCCCCCTCGGGCCCGGCCGCGCGGACCCCCTCAGGGCTGAGCTCCCTCCCGGGACGGAGGCGGCTCCGCTCCGCGCCTGTCCCGCGTCCCGCCCGCTGCCGCGCCGGGCTCGGTGCCCGAGGGGAGGGCGGCTGCAGGTGACCGAGGGAAAAGGCGGCCGGCGCTGCAGGGGTTTCCTCGCCGTCTCCAGAAGCCTCGGCGAGGCCACTCCCAAACGTCTCGCCTTCTCCCCACGGGTGCGAGAGAGGGGCAAGACCTGGGGCTACGGCAAAGGGAACACGGCTGGGGACGATCTCAGGCCTGCCGCACACGCTGCTGCTCGTCCCTGACCCGGGCAGGAGGGGAGGGGAGGAGACGAAGGCTGTCTGCACCTTTGATTAAGAAGAGCTTGTCCTGGGATGCCGCAGAGCTCCCAGGCCCCCGGGGCAGGGACAGCCCGCGCCCGGTATCCAGGGGCGCTGCGGCCACAGCTCCCTCAGGGGCGGCGGCGCCGGCAGCCGCCCCCATGGCCCAGGCACGGCAGGAGGAGCGGCCGCGGCTGCAACCCGGAAGGAAAGGGAGCAGGGCTGGGACACGCAGCCGCCTTTCCTCCTCCTCGCCCTCCGCGGCCGCGCAGCCGGGCGGGATCCAGCGGCAGCGCGGGGGGAGCTGCCTCCTCCTTAGGAGGGGCCTTCTCCCCATGCGGGACGTTCAGCGTCCCGTGAGTCCAAATCGCGCCGAGGGAAAATGGGAATGAGTGGTCACAGCCTCTTTTATATCAAGTCTTTTGTAGCTGGCTCATAAAGGTTTTGGTTTTAGGGGTTTTTTTATGTACGAGGGACAGATTGCGTAGTGGACTTTACCAAATAAAACTGGGAAACACTCTTAATTCCCAGGAATTTTAGTAAGCTGTATCTTGATGAACGGTGTCGCTTTAAAGTACATCTTTTTGTTCCAAATTGTCATTCTTTCAAGTTGTGTAAAGAGTTTTTCACACTATGAGGACATACATTTGGGTTTTTTTCATCTCTGTGCCACCTTAATTCTCAGCTGCTGATGAATATAAATTGATGTGCTACCTAATTTTATCACTTTTATCAAACAGTGTACTAATTTAAAATTCGGTATGGACTGCTAATGTGTATTTTTAGTTATAACAGCCAGTACTTCAACAGCAAACAATGAATGTAAATAAATCCAAACCAAGCGTTTCTTCCCCAGCTTCCTTCTTTGTATCTTTTAACATAATTTATAGCATGTATCTAAGGGTCTAATTATAGGGACTGGGTTGCTAGGCAAAAAATTAGTATTTTGGGAAACTTCCTGTTCATAATACTTCTAAAAACCAATCCAAAGCTGTTTCCTAATAGTCCATGTGCTGTGTAAATTAAACAATATTTTACACAGGGAACCCATCACCAATTCATTGTTTTCTAATCTGGACAGCAAGCAGGCAAATGACTCCTTCTTGAGTCTTCTTTTTCCCATGAAAAAGTACCCCAAAATCCTGTGTGCGTTTTAGAATAGAATTAGACTTTGCCACAAATAATAACAAAACCTCTTGGAAAAGCTTAGAGAAGGGTATCTTAGAAAAAATACAGAGTGACAATGTGAAGAGAAGAAATTACTTTTTATATAAAGTATTTAAAATTATTAGAATGCATAAAACTAAAACAGGAGCTTGCATATCATTTGGATTGTAATTAGTGTCAAGATCATCATTGCATCTGATAGAGGAATCCTTGAACTGTGAGAGACAATTAGGTTATTGTGTCTGTTGTATTTTTTTGTGTCTTTGACGATAAGAATCCTGTGTTTTCTTCTCAGGACAGTTTTTTGAGTTCACATCAATCAAGACATCACTTTCTTTCAAATTTTTCCAGAACCAGGAAGAAAGAGAAGAGAAAGGTATAATGGTGTTATTTAATCCTGGTTTGAGCAATGCCAAGAATCTATATTTAAGAGAGACAGATCAGATCTGTCTCTATTAATCATTCACAGAGACTTAAAGCAGAGCATATAGACCATGAAATCCACTCTGAATAACTTAAAATTCTTAGTGTTGTAAATTTTACTTGCTTTAAAAATCCCAAGAGATACTCAGCAGAATTGTGTTCATTTAGTTTACAATATTAATCTCTTCTTGTTGTATATAATTGCATATAATATAATGCTTTCTTTCCTTTTTATTACAAAAGACTTGGTGAGCCAAAAGCAGGCAGTGAGAGGGAACCAAAGTTTTCCACTTCAAAGGATGTGTAAATCTCCACTGGTGCTTCTGATGTAATGGTTAGGAATTTTATATCAACCCCTGGGTTTTAACAAAAAATTGGTAACATGATGTCTCTCATATGGGAGTTTATATTTTTGTGCAGTATTGGCGAGGGAGGAGTGTGGAGAGTAAGCAAGAGCACGAGGAAGAAAATTAATTTTAAAATAAAACCAAAGAAACAAGTTAGCATAAATTTATTCCTTATGATATTTTTATAACCCTTGCAAACATGGGCCATTGCTGCCAATAAGCAGCCCTATGAATAGAACCCCAGTGTGCAAATTTCTTAATGTAATGCTGTGAGGTATTTCAGTCCTGGCCTGTATGTCTCCTGCTCTCCTTCCTCTCTGATGCAGGACTGCACAGTGACACCTGGCCATCTCCACTAACAGTGAGTTCCACTTGAGGACCAAGCTTGCAATTTAGAGGCAAAGAAGCTAGTTGGTAAGCTGTCTGGGACATAATAAAGGCAGTAATTTATTATGTTCACTAAATTATCTCTCTGATTTATATAGCCAAAAGTCTTGAGTTACACTGCAGAAAATGTTGACACAAGGCACAGAATCCTGTTTGGAGTTTGAAAATCCAATTCAAAACATAGAGGAGGTTGATCTGAATAGTGGTTAAATGGACATGTTCAGTAACTGAACTGGATTATGTAAAAGCACTTGGGAAGGAGCTGAACACTGGTTTTGGAAAGAGAAAATTGCAGCAGTTGAGCTACCCTTTGGGTCTCAGGAGAGCTGAGCTTTATCCCCTGCCTGACTTGCTGGGGTCATTTCCTCTATTTATGGCAGATTTGATATTCCTGAAAGCACCATGCAGCATCAGCACTGTGTACAGGCAGGGGCATGAAGAAACCAGTTACATATTTCCAAACAATTTTCTGGTCGATTAGACAAGAAATTAAAGTGTTCTGCAGCTATGATTTGGTTTCTGCAGAAATCTCTGTTTTTATAATTAGCTGGTTGCTGTTGTGTATCCTAAGGTTCTGGTGGCTGGAGTTCCCATGTTGAGAGCCTGTCCTCTGATCTCTTGTCCCACTGCAGCAAAAATCTGGTCACTGAATTGTGATGTGTAGACTTTAATTACAGAAATACTGACAAAAGGCAGTGCTCATTTGTCAAATGTACTCACAATTCTAAGAAGAGCCTTGCACTGGAGAATCAAAAGACGCATAAAAAATACTGTTTGAGCTGGCTTCATCCACTTATGGAGGGGTATTTTTTGTTTTGGAGGTGATGAGGAGATTGTTTTGTGCAAGGCTTTGCTGTGGTTCTCCAGCAAAGGTAGGAGCTGAGAGGCCAGATCTCCAGATTTCCAGCCACCTACCCCAGCTCCAGAGATGCTTTTCTAAACTGCAGCTTGCTTCTACAAATATGCAACACTCTTCCTTAATTTCACTTCTGCATTTGGTTATGCAGGTGTGCATATGAGGCATAACTTTGGACAAGACTGTGTGCAGGCATGCTGCAGAAACACCACAGCAGCATTGTTTGTTATGGCTACAGCCTGGCCACATTTCAGTAAATGGCAAAAGTCCCATTGGCAATCTGGCCAGAGTTTCAGTTATAAATCCCAAATTAACATTTGTGGATGATGATATTATGGCTGGTCAGAGGCGCACTACAGATTTCAGAGCTGTTGAAAACATACCAAGGCTGTCTGTCACATGCCTTAGATGGAATTCAGGTGGGGTTGCAGAAATGAGAACACTTAAGGAGGGTCTTCTTTCATATGCCTGTACCTGCTTGTTTTCTGTTCTTATCCTTTACTAAATTTTATGTTTTATTACCTGCTCAGTGTTTATAATACTCTCTTCTGGCAAGTAAAATATGCGTATATCTCTGGCCTTACCCACATTTACTAGAGAGGAAAATCACAGATCCCTTCCCAATTCCTGTGGTATTTCTACTGTCTTTAGAGACTTAGCAAATATGTTTACAAGTTACATTTGAATTTCACTGGATATCATGTCTTTAGTGGTCTTAGCATGAGTTTCATTATGGAACTTTTAATAGTTATTTTGCTGTACCATATTAGAAAAACCTCTGCTATTGTCCAGGAAAAAAAAAAGTATTTCTGACTGAATTAAAAAAAAAAAAAAAAAACAGCAAAAATTAATTATTATTTTCATTGTGTCACTGACCTAGTACTTGTGTCTCAGCCACTCTTACTGGATGCTGCAGGCTGAGATAGCAGCAGGAGTCCTTAACCACCAGACCATCTGACCGGGTTCTGCTGGGTGACAGCCTGGGAGCAGGATTTCTCTGGAGAAAATCTGCTCCTGGCCCACGTGGCCAGAACTGGAAACTTCCAGAATTATGGTTGGCAAGACGAAGGAGGCCTCTCTCAGTGACAGTCCAATAGATAGAGTTGTCCATCCTATGTGTTACCTTCTGTGGCTCTGGGAGATGACTTTGTTGGTAACTAAACAGGTTCCCACAAGGACAGTCAGGCTCAGATCAGACTCCCTGGAAAGACTGTACAGGTTCCTTTAAGGAAGGTTTCATGAGGACAAAGCCACGAGTGAGCTGCTCTGAGCACACAGCTTGAACCTGCTTTGGGAAGGAGGTTGCACCAAGACCTGGGTGTCTGGTTTGCCTCTTCCATGAATATGTTCATGGGCAAGGGTAACTTCAAGCTTGGCTCTGATGTAAGACCCCACACATTGGTGGCTGCAGGGTGGGAGGGGTGTGCTGCTGGCACGCACCACTGGGCAGCAGAGGGTCCCTCAGAAGCTGCTGCGTGGCATGTCCCTGTGGGAAGGCTGCTGTGCCCACCCCATGCCACTGGCCATGCTCATATGGCCAGTGACACCAATCTGGGGACCCTCTACAATGGCATGTGCTGCAGAGGAAGAAATTGGACTGGCATGTCATTTATTGTGGGGAGGTGGCCACTATAAACTTGACTTGTGTATGCTAGTAGTACATCACCTGCTGAGAAAGCCAACTGTAAAATTAATTGTCAGGAATACAAGATGTATATTTTTCTTAATTGGCTTCAGTGCAGTCATATCCAAAGGCCCTTTTTGCAGTCATTCACAAGCTTAATTGCTATAGTTTAATATTACGATCTAAAAAGGCCTGGAAGGAGAGCTGATATTAGGCTAGGTTCCTGATGAATTATAATTATCACTTTGTGCAGATGGGTAGAAAACATTTCTTATGAAATTAGTCTTGTTACCTAAATTAATATTGTATTCTGGATAAAGCAATTCTGATTTCACATCTAAAATATTTTTAAGAGCACCAAGTTTGTGCCAGAATTTCACTTG